CCGCAAACACCCCTACCCCCCCCCCCCCCACACACACACAAATACACACAGAAACACACCAAAAATTCTTATAATACATCTTAATTTTGTTTGTATAAGACTCTATAATATAAATAAAGTGTGAACAAAAGCATGTGTGGCTTTCGATATTTTAATAGAGAAACTTACGAATTTCACCGAGTATAGGGGAGCATTTTTCCTGGTGGAGGTAGGTATCTAGAATTGTTTTTTTTTAAAAAATATTTAATATAAAAAAGGAGATCGTTATCCAATATCATATAAAATCGCTGGGGATTTATAGATATTTTAACTGAAATCCATTTGCTATTTGCTAAGGCACCTGTATAAAAGATATATAAGAAGTCGACCCCCCTGTTCCAATCACCCCCCCCCCTTCCAGTCAACCCCATTCTCGTTAGTTCTTGATCATACACAAATCAATCGATAAAAGGGTTCAATACAAATTCATTTCGGGGGCAGGTGGGGTATCTCAAATAAACGGATTATCTACAGTATATTTACATGTACATCAAGTACTACTATATCAATGCTGCCTTGTGGAGAATCGTTGTGCCTTACACCTGATTAATCAGTAATAATTTGTTTATAGTACACAAGACTTGAAAACTAATGATTTCCACAGTTTAACTCTTTATTACTTTTTTTTTTATTGATTCATTTGTAAGATTTCACTGATCTGTTACAAATTATTGAGGGTGACGTCACAATGGCTTGAAAACTCGAGATTTGCACACTAAATATGCACCTCTTAGCTGGAGGTGAAACAAGTGGGCGGATCATGGATCTTCAAATTTCAAAGACCGATTTCTGTACTGAAGACATTCCAGTTTCCTTTCCTCTTGTGATATTCAATTACCTGGTTAAAGGAGAACTTTTTACAAACAATTAAAAGTACGTGTGCTGAACAATAAAGACAGTATACCTTATATTACGTACAATGCTTAATCGCCATTTTGCATTAGAAAAGTTCGGGAAAAGAGTGTACCTGTGACGTCGTATTTTACGACTGTGACGTCGAGGAGTGGTTGTCTGCATAAGGAAGCTGCTGTAAATTTGGTAGTGTTTACATCGCTGCGGTTTTCTGACCATTTCGTTGGATTTAAAAGTTGTTACGGTTGTGAAAACATATGTAAGTGTTTGCAGTTGTCGTGCGGAATACGCATCGGTATGTATTTTTGTTTGCTGCGAGTCATTTCTTCAGTCGGGTCTTCATTCATGGGGACTATGAAGCCGTGCGTTGTTGGCAATGTTTAACGGATATCTACAACTCGGAAGGAACGTTTTGCGATAACAGTGGAGTCGTAGCATAATTTAATGACGGAAATTCGATGGATTATTTTAATATCGCCGTTTGATTGCAGAAAACTGCAGAATTTAGCGAGAAAATAATGACGCATGCGCAAATGGGGGTTAGTCGTTTTTTGATGCCAGGCATCGACTAACCCCCATCTGCGCATGCGTCATTATTTTCTACAGCTACAACAGTAGAACACCAGATACACTGCATAAAAGACATTTACCCTAGAAATAATAATTATGACTGAAAATAAACAATAAAAATATGAAATTGGAACACAATAAAAACATGAATGAATAAAAATAAACAATAATTCAATTATATTAGCTTCTTATATACATACTTACCCATTTAGACAGTATCTACTACAGTGAAAACTGATAATTTCAAGCAAAACTAAGTTAGTTTTCGACACTACACCTGATTTCAGAATTTTCTGAAAATCCAGGATTTATAATTAGTCTAAGATTAAATAATTCCCTGTTATACATGTATAAAGATACAATCCTATGTTTGTGAAACACTAAAACCCCCATATGGCAGCTCATAAATAAGGTAAAGTCTCTTTCAAAAGTAGGTCAAACTCCAAGGTCAAGGTCAGAGGTCAACAAGATGTATTTGTGAAACACTGATGCCCCCGCATGGTGGCTCAATGCTAACATTTTTAAATGTAAGTCAAATGTCAAGGTCAAGAGTTCAAAAATGTTTGTAACCAAAGAAAGGTCTTGTCACAAAGAATAAATATGTGTAATATGAAAGCCCTAACACCAACATTAAGAAAATATGGCCAAGATTAAATTTTTTCAAAAGTACATTATACTCCAAAATCAAGGTCATGAGGTAAAAAATGTCGGTACCATTGCTTGTCACAAAGAATACATAAGTCTAATATGAAAGCCCTTGCACCAACTGTTCAAAAGTTAGAGGTAAATCTAAAGTTTTTTCAAATGTAGGTCTAACTCAAAGGTCAAGGTCAAGAGTTTAAAAATGTCTGTATTCAAAGGAAAGTCTTGTTACAAGGAAAACACAAGTGAAATATGAAAATCCTAGCACCAACTGTTCAGAAGTTATAGTCAAGGTAAAAGTTTTTTAAAAGAAGGTCAAACTCCAAGGCTTTCAAAAGCTAACAATATTAGTTTAATTCATTTGATGTATTTTTAAACTTAAGTCCTTCTTTAGTCCCTAATTATTACTTTAACTTAAATTCATTACTGTAGATTCTTTTCTTCGCGAATACTGGTTATTGCATAATGGCTCTTTAACGTCAAATTGTGAAAACAATAATTCACAAGTGGACAGTTAATCAAGAGATTTTTCATGGATTTTAGCACCATTAAAACAAGAGGCCCAGGGGCAACATCGCTCACCTGAGAACTCTGGCTAGGAAAAAACAGAAATCAGTTCAGTCTTGAAAAGTTTAAATATAAAACTGGTTCCGGGGGGGGGGGGGGGGGGGGGGGGGGGTCGTGATTTGTAAAAATTTGAATCTACATTACCTGATGATGCTTCCATTTAAATATGACTAATCATGGCTTTGCTGTTCTTGAGAAGAAGATTTTTAAAGATGTTCCCTATATATTCCTATGTAAAACTTTGATCATCCATTGTGGCCCCACCCTACCCCTGGGGGTCATGATATGAACAAATTTGAATCTACACTACCTGATGATGCTTCCATATAAATATGACCAATCATGACTTTGCTGTTCTTAAGAAGAAGAATTTTAAAGATTTTTCCTATATATTCTTATGTAAAACTTTGATCGCCCATTGTGGCCCCACCCTACCCCTGGGGTCATGATTTGAACAAACTTGAATCTACACTACCTGAGGATGCTTCCATATAAATTTGACCAATCATGGCTTTGCTATTCTTGAGAAGAAGATTTTTAAAGATTTTTCCTGTGTTTTCTTATGTAAAACTTTGATCGCCCATTGTGGCCCCACCCTACCCCCGGGGGTCATGACTGGAACAAATTTGAATTTACACCACCTGAGGATGCTTCCATATAAATAAGACCCATCATGGCTTTGCTGTTCTTGAGAGGAAGATTTTTGAAGATTTTTCCTATGTATTCCTATGTAAAATTTTGATCCTCCATTGTGGCCCCACCCACCCCCGGAGTCATGATTTGAACAAACTTGAATCTACACTACATGAGGATGCTTCCATGTATGTTTCATATTTTCAAGCACAGTGGTTTTTGAGAAGAAGATTTTTAACTGATGCCATTTATTTTTCATGAATTCATAATTATCTCCCCTTGGAAGAAGGCGTGGCCCTTGATTTGAACAAACTTGAATCCCCTTTACCCAAGGATACTTTGTGGCAAGTTTGATTGAAATTGGCCCCGTGGTTCTTGAGAAGAAGATGAAAATGTGAAAAGTTTACGACAACAACTACGACAACGATGACAGACAACAGACAAAATTCAATCAGAAAAGCTCACTTGAGCCTTCGGCTCAGGTGAGCTAATAAAAGTGAGTAATTTTATTTCGTGAGTGGTGTTTCTTGTGAAATAACATGATAATTAATGGTCAGAAACCAAATAAGAATCCTTCCTGTTAAAAAATATTAAATAATGAAATATGACATAGATTATGAAAGCTGAATAAATTATAACTAGAAAACTCATAACAAGAGAAGTGATTCTGTCATTACGTGCCATCTGGTATGGGTTTTTTAATTATAAAACAAATACCTGATTTACTGCATTTTTTCAAAAGATGTTTTTCCTAACCAATCTTTTTAGATATAAAAAAAGATTTTCACTTTTTAAAAAAAATATTGCATCATAATTCTTATCAATAATATTACCTTTGACCCCGACCAATTGACAACCCCCCCCCCCTTTTTTTTCACAGATCTTTTCTCTAAGCACTCTTTGTTTATACACTTAATATGAAATCTGCAGGCTACAAAATGTCCATGGTGTATTGATAATCTCAAGTTCTGACTTTAACTGACCTCACACCTACTGACCCCTAAAAGTTTTGGATGTTTTTCTACTTCCCATTTTTAACCTACTAGTGTATAATTAGAATAAAGTCTGAATAAAAAAACAACTTTTGTGCAAGTCAATGAAATATCTGAGATTTGCAAACAACTCCACTTTTTAGATGTTTATGGATGCAAAATAGTAAAACACTATAAAAGGTTAACTGCATCACAAGGAATGATATGTAAGGATAGAAGTAACTAGCCCTTTGACATTGACTAATGACAAGAAAATATCCTTTAACCACCTTCCACTCATGTAGTACTTATAAAATCTGAAGGGGGAATGGTACTCAACTTCTCACTTCAGATTTAAGTACCAACATGCATGCAGATGGACCACCATCATTAAGCTTATACTGTGCCTGTACATAAATTGGTGTATTCAAAATTTAGCGCAATCACTGGGTATGGACTTGTTGGTGAAATCATGAAGTAGCGCTATACATGTATGTTCCGAATATTGTATTTATAAATGATTTCTTAGCGGTATTCATGAATTAGCACATCGTTGTCTGCGCCAAAGCCGCAAAAATATGAAGCCCGTTTTTTTAAGTACACAGACAGTATGTTTTTTTTCTCCTTTCAGATAGTACTTACTATACAATGTACCTAAATATGTCATATTATATTTTTTGTACACACATGCATACAGTGTTTAATTCTACTAATACTTGTGAGTACCTCTCCATTTCCTCTATAGCATCCTCTGTAAGTGGGTGTACATATCGAAAACCAACATAAAATTTGTGTGGAGCTGGAATTGCAAAACAAAGTTATTATCAGATGATTTAATATCTTATCTGTCTACCAGGAAAATACACAAAAGGCCCATGGACCTATATATTTCTATTGTGGCTCCACCCTACCCCCAAGGGTCATGATTTGAACAAATTTGAATAAACACTACCTGAGGATGCTTTCACATAAATGTGACTTATCATGACTTTGCTGTTCTTAAGGAGATTTTTAAAGATATTTCCTATATATATATTCCTATGTAAAACTTGATTGCCCATTTTGGCCCACCCTAACCCTAATGGTCATGATTTGAACAAACTCGAATCTTCACTTTAAAATGAAGCTTTAATTTCCATAAGTTTCAACTCCTCTTACTCAGTGGTTCTCGAGAAGAAGATTTTTGAAAGATGCCATTAAATTTTCAGTGATTATTAATTATCTCTCCTTAAAAGAGGAAGAACAAACTTAAATCCCCTTCACCAAAGGATGCTTTGTGGCAAGATTGTATGAAATTGGTCCAGTGGTACTTGAGAAGAAGTCGGAAAAGTTAAAAGTTTACAGACAGACAGTCAGATGGACACATGGATGCTGGACAAAATGTGATCAGAAAAAGGGGATAAGTTGAAAACAATCTGATTTAGTCAGTTAAATGTTTATAATGGGTCTGTAGTCTGACCTGTTTGTGGACTGATCTGGTCAAGTATTTTAACCATTCCTTGACCCTGGGTTTCTGTCCACTGTTTGATTGGAGATCCTCCCCCAATCTTCCTGTACTGTTCCTGAATCTTTGGTGTCCTTCTCTGGGCAATCCTTGGACCAAGCACTCTGTTATAAATGCCACCAAATAATTACACCTGACGCTAATGAAAATCAGTTTAGATATACATGTATTCCTATAAAAATCTAAATTCTATTTTTAATGTATTTATGCTTGTCTAACGAAATGAAATATTAGTTGTATCCACATTTATTGACCTTAATCTATATCAATATGACATTCAGCTTGTCAACATGACCTTGATCTATATCAAATATGACATTTAGCTTGTCAACATGACCTTGATCTATATCAAATATGACATTTAGCTTGTCCACATGACCTTGGCTTACAGACTTACAGGTCAATACAACCTTTTGTGTCAAACATGACCTCAACTATCCAAGAAATATGCAGTAATAGCAAATAATTTTCACTTTCAAACTGGCTTCATGCCATTTGAATTATTTTCAGTTTTAGTGACACTGAATAAAATGTGTACGTGGAATAGCATTTTGAAGAAAGAACTTCACTGTTATACAGGTAGATACAGATAGATTTCAACTGGAGACATTTCATTGTCCTCACTCCAGGGCCATAAAACTTAGACGAGCTCACTTTTGATCTCAGTCTCACTTTTACCAAAGGAATTAATAGTGGAAAAAATAAAAGAGATCAAAAGTGAGCTTATCTAAATTTTTTTGGCACCTAGACCAGGTAAAGGTGCTAATTAGGTTAAGCCTGGGTACACATAACCACATTTAGTTTTCAAAGATAAATCACAAGAGAATATGTGTAACTGGACTGCTTTTTGACTTTGAGGGATCAAGGGTTTTGCGAGATTGATAGTTCAAGAAATGAAGAATAAACTTGTTAATTATATAAGAGAAAAAAAATTGGGGCCAGAAACTCTCTCCCAGAGATCAAGAACTGAGAGAAATCAAAGAGTGAACTGCAGAAAAAATGGCAGTGTGTCCATGTTTTGCTTTGCGAAATCTCAAATATCTACCTGTTCAAAATGTAAAATAGGAAGTGCACAATGACACTATGTAACAAAGATTCTGTGAATGTCTCATTAAATCTTATTAAGTGGTATAGGAGAAGTTGTGGATAATTTAAGAGATGGCAGGGTCCTTGTTTTGGGAAACCTCAAAAATGTGTCCAACCGAAACGTAAATAAGGAGGTCACAATGGTAATAAGATCAAATTATTTTTGCAACACCTTATTTAAGCAAGATTGCTATATTTATAAGTGAAACAATTTTTTGCAGGCTTTTGTTAATTCTGCATGTAATCCTTAACATTATAAATATAAGCGAAAATAAAATTTTCACAAGCATTGTGTTATTACAAAAAGTTCTTGCAAAATAAAGGGGATTTAGAGTATGTTATAAAGATTCTGTGAAAGTTTTATTTAATTTTATTCAATGGTAAAGGAGAAGTTAAAAAGTTACACAATTTACATAAATTTTTATATGTTTAAAATAAATGTTGATATAAAAACCACTACATACTGTTGAGCCGGGAGCTGCATTAAGTCTCTGTCTAAGAAGAGACGTGTTAAGAAGTCCTGGACGTGTCCCTCTGTCTCTGGTCCCCCCATATTCAGCATCAGTACCCCTGTCTTTGGTTTGGAGCTTTTACAAAAAAAAAAAGGACTCATGATTTAAGACCACTTACTGTAAAGTTTAATCTCCATAAACGTACATGTAAGTATAAGAAAAAGATTATTTTAATTAAATGAAGAGGCCCATGGACCATAACACTCATATGAATTACCTTGATCTTGCTGTTCTTCAAATGAAGATTATTAGTTTTTTTCCCTTCTTTATTCTTCTGAAAAATTTTGACCCCATATTGTGCCTCACCCTAGCCCAAAAGGGATTATGATTTAGCTGATCTTGAATTGACAAGAGCTTGTTCCGATATCAATATGACTATTGAATTCAAACATTGCCTAAGCATTCTTTTCAACTTTTTTCCCCTTTATATCTGCAAAATGAAACTTTGATAATTGCCCAGGTAGATTAATTGATAGTGTATCTGACCCTCCCAGGCCTAATGCACCAAGTGTCAAACCAACAAGATCACCACATTTGATTGCAGCATCTAGGTGAGCTATTCAAAACTGCTGAATCAAGATCTAGAGACACCACTGTAAGACAAAATTCAAGGATTAAATCATTAACAGCCTGGCATCTTCTGCCTGAAAATAGTCTTTCTACTAGGCAACAATCAAAGGTCCTACCAGATTTAAGAAAAGTGAGGTCAAGGTCAAAGGAAAGGCCAAGGCTATAATGCTGATGCAGTTGAAGAGCTCTGATCAATATGTATGTAACCCTTGGTCTTGGTTACATAGACCCATCAAAAGTCTAATTTTTTTTGTAGATTTATATTTTTCATACAATTTTATACAATTCAGCACATATCAAGAAATTTTCAAAATTTGATTTTCATGGGGCAAAAATATGCATGTACTGCATATAGCTCTTTAATAATATTGCCGCCTTTAAAATATTCATGTATTTGTTCTTTAAAATTTTTGGAAATAAAACTGAAGTAACTGATATGTATTTAAATACATTCTTCAAAGTAACTGAGAGAATAATTAATAACATTTGTCAGGTCCAGCACAATCTCTTGATTTAGCTATATAGCTTGATTTAGTTATATACATGTAGCTTGATTTAGCAACATAGCTTTATTAAGCTATTCAGAATAGCTTGATTTAGCTATTTTATCACATTTTTTTCTTAAATGTGTTATTTTCTCAGCATGCACAAAAAGTCGCACCTTGGTGCAGTGATAATATTCAACCTTGAACTCTTCTGAAAATAATGCATGTAAAAATCACTCACCAAATTGTGTCTCCTTAAGGAGGAATTCTTCTCATATTTCTTGTATTTAAAAATTAATGAAATTTTCATAGATTCAAGAAGACATTATCATTAAGTAATGGAATCAATTAGATTAAATTTGACCATTTTATTTTCAAAGCAAGGTCAGGTCAAGATCATTATCTTTTTCCTTGACCTCAGGAATAAAAAAAATACTGTTGCCAATCATGCAATGCCTACTTCCTTTTCAAAACATTAAATGTTTTTCTTTTTGCATAAAAAGATATTACCATATAGGGTCTAACAGATGATACTACCAAATTGACATAAATAATTTAACTAAAATAGATATTGGCTAATCCGAATTTCCTCTATTTTTCCTAGATTTTAGGATATATTAGTTATTTTTATATGCTTCATATATTTGAATTTATCTTATTTTCACATATGGTAGTCATACAAAGATACAAATTGATACAAAAACAAAAAGTTTTGACCATTTACTAAGAGAGAAAAACACTTTTTACTGATTTTTGGCTCAAATCTGTACTTAGATCGGAAGCTTTTAAAAGTTAACAAAATTGTAGTTTGTGTGGAAAATCATATTAATTTGATATATTTTAAAACTTCGGTCCATTATTTTTAATTTTACGTTCATTTGAAATTTTCTTTTAGTCTTTGATTGTTTAAAAATTCTAACTGAATTCATTGTTCTAAAGTAATTTTGAGAAGCAGAAAAGGAGATATTTTCATACGCCGCCTTCCCGCTAAAAATGTAGTCCCTGCTTGATTTCAAACTCAGTTTTGGACCATTTCTATTTAAAGTTGTACAATTATGATGAGGAAAGAAAAATATGATCTTTTAAATCTCTTACATCTAATTATATAAGACATATAACCAAATATACTTTGAATATTTCATCTAATCAGAAACCAGACAAGAATCCCTCCTTAAGAGACTTTGTACTCAAAGTTCTAAAAGTTTTGGGGCTATATAAAGCAATTGATACAGTTACTTCTTCAATGAAATTATAAAGGAGGCCATGCAATTATGGTCAACAAGATAATTGATTGGTAAAAATTCAGTACAATGAGAAGCAATCATACTTATCCACGCCTCAACGCACACAGGGTATTGTACAGTTACTCAACCAATGGAAATTCATCTTTTGCTTAAAAGTATATAAAATTCAAATGCTGCAAATATGTTAGAACTATCTTTGATTTCAGTTGTTGTTTTGATAGTACATATATGAATATATAGTCAAATACTTGCGTCTTTTTGTCTATTTATTACAAAAAAAAAATTCTGAAAAACTGCACATAAATAGCTTAATCAAGCTATTTTGAATAGCTTAATAAAGCTATATAGCTATTTCAAGCTATATATTTATTTAGCTAAATCAAGAGATTGTGCTAGACCTGTTTGTTAAAATCAATGTAATTGTAATTGCAAGTATTTAGTAATTGACAAAATTATCAATGTATTTGAAAGTATTTAATTACATTTCAAAGTAATTGCCCCCAGCCCCGATTCTCATGTAAAACTTTGATCACTCATTGTGGCCCCACCTACCCCTGGGGAGTCAACATGGAATGATTCCACAGACTGCAGTACCTGTTTGTGCTGTATTGCTGACATGCATTCACAAGGACACCTGGTGAGCTGTGTACACTCCATGACTTCAAGTACTGGCAAGCATCTTTAAATTGACAAAATACATGATAAGTCCACAACCACAAGCAAATACCTGCACTCTATACAGTTACTTACTTTTGATGAAGTCTACAAATGGTTAGACAAACCTGATCAGGTACTGGATTACTCAGGTCAAAGGCCAAAGTTAACCAATACAGCAGCAGGTCCATATAGTCACAAGTACATGTACATTGAATTCAAAAGTCAATAACCATTTTATTATATAATCAGGAATTTTACAACATATTTGACCTATTTATAGTTTCTGTTTCAAGCAAATATAAACACTCATAAAATAATGTGTTGTGTAACAACATATATCATAATTATATTCCAACAGTTTCAAAACTGTTTAAAAAGAGGTAAACAATATTATAAACACAATACAGTCAAACCTCGTTATCTCGAACTTGAAGGGACCGAGCAAATACTTCGAGATAACCGAGGATTCCAGATATCAAGGGTAAAATACTTAAGGAATAAGTAGTTGGGTTAGGGTTAATGTTAGCGAAGTGGCTCAAACCCAGGTTAAACAAGTATAACTTGGGTAGCAATTAAATTTGTTCCTTATAATTTAATTTTCTATCACTACATGTAAGTGCCAAAAATTGATAATTTTTCCTTTCAAAAATACCTTCAAATTGTACAATGTTTAAATGTCAAGCGGATTGATACATTTTTGACGTAAGTCAATGTGACATAGGCAACACAGGTTATACAATATTTTTTTTATCCAATCAAATGACCTGTTACAACCAAAATTAAATTATTAACCTTTTATTCATAGTCGTAGTCAAAATGCAATGTACCTCGTCGTGTATGATTTCCCGCAGACATGCATGTCTTTATACTGTTTTCGCACTTCCTTCATCAATATTCATGAAAAGACTGAATTTTTGATTGCAGATCTTGCTTAATTGTTTTGTAATTACAATGACTTATTTAGTAAAACTTTGTGGAAAGTATTATTTTTTCATTACACTTCATGTTTCTCAAATCATTTAGTCATTTTGTTTCACATAAAAAAATCAATTAACGTTTATATAGTTTATCTTTAAGAGAATGTCACTCTTTCACTGCATCCTTAATTATTTCAGGAGAGGTAATTTTCCCTCAAAAGCTACCTGTGGATTTATCTGTGATATAAATGTTTCACGACAGAACTTTTCAACTTAATAAAATGTTCATTTGGTTTTAAATTGATATTCTTCTTAGCAAACTTTGAATTGATCTTAATTGAGTCACAGCAACTAGAACATTCTTTAAATATACATGTATTCATTTGACATATCAGGTAAAATAGCTGTATGTAAATAAATGTACAATGTTATGCACAATTAAACACGAAAAAAATTGATCTTTCATTTCATCTATATCTGTTCTGATGGGCAAATATTGATATACATTACATGTACTAACATCAAATACATAACATACATAGTCAACATTAAAAAAGTCAAATGACTACAAATCAATATCTCACTATTTTCAGCCTGATGACAATAAAATATTAACTTGAAGATATGTATATTCACCTAGTTTTGTAAATGTATTATATTAAGCATGTACAATATTTGGCTGAAATTGATTTTTGAACAAGTTAGCGTTGATTTGATTTAGCTCATTTCTTAGAGTTCTTATTTATGTGTATATGTGCAAGACATTTAGCATTGTACTTAAATTATCAGAAGTTGCTTTCCGCCAAAGGAGCTAAAAAGAATACACAGCTAAATGTAATACTTTTACCATAATACTTCACTATGAAGAAGATGGACAAATTCTGTTAAATTATTAACATGATCAAATTTTATCTAGAAAAAAAACATCTTTAACATGTTTAAGAAGTTCACTTGAACTTTTTCAAATCAAAGTTTGTCCATTGTCTGTCCATCCATCTGTCTGTTAGTTAACTGTTTCTTATTTTTTACTTCTGATTTGGATTTTTGGTCAACTTCACCTAATCTTTCACAGAGCTCAAGGTAAAGGAGATTAAAAAAAATTGTTGAAATAAAGGGCCATGCCTGCTTGTAAGAGGCAAGACAATGTATCGTATATATATGGTATGTAAGTAATCAAGAAAAGGCAAGGTGTCCTTTAAAAATTTTCTTCTCAAGAAAAACAAGAAGTCTGTAAAGTGAGCCAATGCTATCTAATGATGTGAATACACAAGTTCATTTATGGACAGACACAGGGATAAACAGGAACTTGACATCAGATTCATACAAAAATGCCACCATATGGCATGCCTAAACAAAGCGTTTGCTAAAATTTCAAGCATCTGCGATGAGTAATTGCTAAGAAAACTGTGACCAAAATTTGTTATGTATGGTACGGACAGACACAAGGATAAACAGGAATTCTCACAAAAATGAATCTCACCATATGGCATTCCTAAACAAAGAGTGTGCTAAAATTTCAAGCATCTGCAATGAGTAATTGCTAAGAAAACTGCGACCAAAATTTGTTATTATGGTACTGATAAACATATGCACAGATAAACAGGAAGTTGACAACGGATTCTCACAAAAATGAATCTCACCATATGGCATGCCTAAACAAAGAGTGTGTTAAACTTTAAACATCTGCAATGAGTAATTGCTGAGAAAACTGCCACCAAAATTTGTTATGTATGGTACGGACAGATGCACAAATAAACAGGAAGTTGACATCAGATTCTCACAAAAATGAATCTCACCATATGGCATGCCTAAACATAGAGTGTGCTAAAATCTCAAGCATCAGCGATGAGTAATTGCTGAGAAAACTGTGACCTAAATTTGTTATGGACAGACACACAGACTGACAGACAGATGGACAGACAGACAGACACACAAGGGTAAAACAGTATACCTCCTCTCCTTCAGAGCAGAGGTATAACTAGCCATAAAAGCTGAAACTTAAGGACATACGCACCATAGCTTGAACTTTACTGTCTTTTTCCCTGGAGTTGAAGAGTTCCAATACTTAAAGGAACTGTGTGCTACATCATAATGTCTATATATGCTGCTGTACACTTCTTCTATTACAAGTTTGGATAAACAAAACATTCAGAATATATGTTCAGTATTTTTTGTATATTTTTCTTTGAATTATACAATAATTTTCATCAATTGATATCTTTTCAAAACCCCTGGTAATGCATGCTGAATTTTTGTGTACGAACATCTGATGGCATTAATTATAATCTTAAATTAAGAATATCTTGAAAAATTATCAGTAGGTAAGGTACGTTGCGTTTGTCCTTAAGTGAAAGGTTTCTGAAATAGTAACACAATATGGTGTCAAAATTTTCATGAAAATACAGCAATAATTAAGAAATCATTTTGAGGGATTATAGATTTTAAATAAAAGATAAATTGTCATCTTTATCAATAATTAATTACTATTTTAATTTCAAATTTTCACTGCTGAAATCTTGTACAAGAATCTTCTTCAACGTGTTGGGAGCATAGTGGAAGACAGCTTGAAATAGAGATTGATTCTTTCCAATCAGTAACTATATTGTTTTGACTTTGACAATTATATACAGAGCAGACAAGAATTTGTGTGTGTAAATTTGTCATGTGATAGTCACAAGGACAGTCTTAAATTACAGTCATTTTCATTGACCATATTGACAACAGTACTTTTGTTTATTGAAAGAGTGCTGAAATATAGTTATGCTAAAACACAAAAATATGCATTGCATGCGACTTTAGATCACTAATGGCACAATACTGTAAATAAATCCAGCACAGAGTTTTTGAGCACAATAAGTTTTTTCTATGGTCATTGGATGGCACTGTAGCTCTCCGGTCTGTCATTGTTTTTTGGGGGGAAAGCTACATTTCTGCAGCTAAGTTCACACAGTACATCATATTCGGTTTGAATAAAATTATAAAGATTTACACCAATTTCTGTAAAAACAATCAAGTGTTTATACTTCCAAAGAACGAGTTTTCTACTGTCATTTTTTTCTTGGAATCAGACATATAAAAATGGTGGTTTTATATGTCTCTGTTGGAATGCTATTTTTCTATTTTATATTCCAATCCCTGAAGTTCATTTTTATTAACAGCTGCCTGAACAACACGTCTGTTCTGTTTCATAACAAGGTTACGCAATACAAAATAGTCGCTAGATCAGTTTCTACTTTAAAGTAGTGAATTTCTGCATTTATTTTCATAAAGGCATATACCATACATACTGATATATTATTATGTAATTATTACAGAGCAAACAAACTTTAAGAATGTTACTTACTTCGTGCAAAGCTTTTCGACATCGGCAAGGCCATGTTTTCGTTCTACTTTCAGATTACAAGTTTACAAGAAGGAAGCGCCCTCTTCACCGTGTGACGTCATTTCCTATGAGTACTATGAAATGAAAATAGGCATATGCATCAAAAAATTACTCATTGCCTTTCATACTTTGTTGATACTTGGTAATATATGTAATATATATATATTTTTAAATGAAAATTTATTAATTTTCGAATCCAGCCATTTTCACTTATGACAATGTTGATATAGAAGAGCCTGCTGCAAATATAAGGAATTTCGTCTGCTTCCGTAAGCGTAAGATTTTGAATATATATTAATATGATCATCTTTTTATTGTAGAGTCTGAGTCCAAAAAGATTTCAGTTCGAGTAACACACGAAGAAAGTTTTGTAGTTCAAGGTAATTCTTTTCCCCGAGACATGTATATATATCTCCTTGTCCTATCTGGGATGGGTCGCCTACATCGATGATATTGTACAGAACAGAACATGTACATGTACAACACACCCTATTACCGGCAACTGGGACTGCCGATGCAACTGGGATGACAGACGTTTTTCGCTATGACAGAGACCTGATTTTTATCGTATTTTTTGACTATTTATAACATTCATTTACTAACATATGGTGGTTTCCCGTCTTGACCATACCATACACTATTTTCCTGTAGAATATAAAACTATGATTTCTTATGAAAACAAAATAAGAACAGAATAAAGTTAAATTGCAAGCGTTGTTTGAGAAAATTTGGTTTAACTGAGTGAGCTTACAAAAACAGCTATTCCATGGTCACATTTCTTTTTGTATCTAAATAATAAACTTAGGCTCTTAATGCGAAATGTGGATAGTCTTTATTGTTTAATAAGTGTGCTGCTAGCGCTTGATTTTGGTGAGTCAAGATCTTTTGGCTGTCTTGAACAGCAGATGGATGTTAACATATGGCAAACACTGATGACAGATGATGGCAATCAGCGCCGCAGGCCGGTAACAACTTTATTTTAGTTTTTGATTTTCTCATTACCAAAATGGTGAGTTCTTACTAAGCAACCATATAAATTTGGAATCACTTGAAGTATAATTATAGAGGGCGGAGCCCTCTCACGAGCCCGAAGGGCACGTGAGAGCGAAGCTCTCCCTATAGGTAACACGTATGTATGTAAAATATATTGAATTCTATTGTAAACTATATTTTTATTACAATACCTAACGGAACTGAGAACCTTGTCGCCAATATGGCGTCCATAGTCTTTTCCATCTTGAATCTCGCGACAAATTCCCGCATAAACGAGATGCTGAAGAATCGTAATTTTAATTCCAATCCTGTGTGAATGAAGTTTTAAAAATTCTAATAATCAAAAACACCCTTATAGTACACATCCTTGTTACTTTCGTTTTCATCTAGGCCTAGCCTAACTTGCACTCGAATCGTCATAGACCTGACATGTGACGTCATTCATTGACTGTATGAATCAGCGGAGACTGTTGAATTTTTAACAACCTGTAATAATTGATATTTCATATGCATACTTTCTTTTTAAAAACAAATTTATTCGCCTTTTAATAAACCTTGATATGTTTTTGGTGAAACAAAAAAACAGTTTAACGAATTCCAGTGACGTCACTGTCTAGACTGCGTACTACGTACTATGGAGGGGCGGATCTTTCTGTGGCCCCTTCCACCAGACTTTAGGGAAAAGAAACAACTCTAATTTATTTGTTAATAAAATTTATTAATTACGAATGTCTTCAGGATTATTTTAAATACACAAACTAGAAGTATAAGATTTTTTTTGTGACTTGGTATAATTTTCCTCTTGAATAATACATTTTCAAAATGTTTCAGTGGTAAAATATTGCATGAAAAGCTTTACTGAATTCTGGTATGAACTCAAGAAGGGGGAAGGGGTATGGATTTCAATTTTTTTTAATTTTTAATTTATTAATTAATTCATTCATTCATTCTTGTCTTTGATTACCTGCTTGATCCTATATACATTTGCAGGTGGAGGCCTGTGTCTCATATTTGTTGTTGTGAATTTTTTTTCTCAAAAGTTTTATCATTTTTTTTTAAGTGTCAAAATTTAATTTCGTGAAGCTCACCATCAAAAGAAGAATCTTTGGACATGTCTGAAGCTTAAACTACCACATCAAACACATTGTTCCATTTCTGGATATGCTTTAAATGATGAAAGAAATCATATGAGAAAAACTAAGTTAAACAATACATTGAAGGACTGCAACACATGACATGTATATTAATAAAGTTTAATGTTCTCTTGGCTTAAAAAAACGTTAACCCCTGCAAATACAGAATCTTCATTTGACATTACCCATGGTGATCCATAAAGAGGTCAATGTTGTTGAATAGTACTAAAATATTTTTTTATTTAATCTTCCATATATGATACTTTTTATTAATTATGTGGTGAATAGGGATGTCACAAAACAACGATACTTCCCAGAAATGTACCCTATTATTCACAAGATTCGATTTTAAAATTCTAATAGTTTTCGCATAAACAATTTAATATCTGTAAGAAAAAATCCTTTTATTGAGTTAATATTTTTTTTCCAGAAAAGATTTTTATCTTGCTTTTATGTTAGTTTTAGAAAGCACTAAACACTATTCGAATCAGATTAGTTTTTTTTTAAAAATGCAGAAACGTTAAATTTACTCTACATTTTTTCCATTAAAATTAAGAAAATAATTCTCAGAAATTTTGCGATGCTGATACATTTAGCCCTCACGATACACAGCCCTAGTGTTGGTCAGATGATCAGTTTCCAAGTGTCCTGATAACCCAGGAGTCAGATCATCTTTCTGTAGTTTGGGTCCCAAGTTCGACTTCCGATGTAGTCCCTGACAATAAGTTGTCCTTATTTGTATTTGATGTCATGACCATGCATTGGAAGTAAAAGATGAAAATTAAATTACTTGATTTTTCTGGATTGGGGTTTTTAAATCAAGTTCATGAAAGATAAAGAAATGTTGCTCAGGCATATTCGTTTATTATTTATTGGGCAGCTACAAAGGTGAAAGAGTTAACGTTTAAGAGTTCTTGGGCTTTGGTAGGTTGAATCCTTGACTGGTCCAGTGCACACTCTTTCCCCGTTATGGGTGAATTCAAAAAAAATGACCAAACGCATATTTATCAACCCACACTAAAAATACAGGCAATGAAAATAGATTTCTATGTCTCATCATATGTCTTTAGATAGTGTCTAAATACCTGCCAAATATCTCGTTGATATCTCAATTAACAAAAAAGTTATGCCCAAAAATGATGCTAAAATTGTCAGGAGTGCAACACTTTTTTGTGACATTTTGAAATTTCAATATTTTTTGGAGATCTGTGAAATAAAAAATAATGCTTCATGTTGAAAATAAAGACTTTCCTGATAATATTCAAAGTGTTGAGCTTTAAATGTGGACTGTCATAACTTTTGTTTAATCAGGTTGTGGTCATGGCTGATGTTTAAAAAAATGTTATACCGTGTCAGGAGTGCAACAGAAAAAATGTAGTGTTGCCAAAAAAACATCAATTGTAAAATTCTGATCGAAAATTAAGACAAAAAAGAATTTTTGAAGTGTAAAATAATAACTGATATACATTTTAAAACTTAAAAATTTTATATAAATCACAAGCAGCATTAATGAGAGTCAAGTATATGTGCATACCCAAAAATGTCAGGAGTGCAACATTTGATGTTTTGCTCCCAAGCATGAAAAAACTATTATCATTATATGATTTTCTGATTTTTATTTTGGAAAATAAAGACACAAAGAATATTTTTACCATATAGATTTATCAATTACAGGATCTGGCTGTGCTTCAGATCTATATTTCTATGGTCAGGAGTGCAACACATTTTTTTAAAGATTCAAGTGGTGTGACGAAAACACTTCTATTCATGCTTAGAAGTATTCATTAATTAATAATGATCTTTTTGTATAATTTAATGCTAAATTATTGACAGTTTTATTATTAAAATCCTTCCTTTTTCAATTTTATCAATTCAGATGTGTTTTTATCTTTTTTGTGATTTTTTTTAATGAACGTTAAAAATAAACACACTAAAACATTGTCATAAAATTCGAGTAATTCCTCCTCAACTTAACTGAAACAACAGAACAAGTTCTTATGTAATTTTCACTTCACAATTCTACTTCAATGCTTTTGGTCAGGAGTGCAACAAATATGTTGGAATTATAAATCATCCAATAAGAATAAAAATAAAGAAAAAATGATGAGTAGAATTTTTCTGGTGGGTTACTGTGTTTGTCTTCTAAAGGAAAATATGCTTTAAAATATATTTTATCTTCTAAATATACATTTAAGCTAGTTTTTTTTGGCATAAAATAGGGTATAATTCCAGATAAAATGCGAATTTTAAATACTTTCATCTGTTTTAATTATGAACTATTGGACTATAAGTATTGCACAATTTCATTACCACTTGATGTTGCCAACACTTTATGAATTTTTGTGTTCTTTGGTTTTAATTTTAAACTTTATTGCAGTCAGGAGTGCAACAAAACTGCTTCATAATTACCGATGCTTTTTAACTATCTTTGCTAAAAATTAAGTTGAAAAAAAATGCTTGATACTATTTGATGTTCAAAACACTATGTCTATAATCAACAAATTACAGAAATTTTATAGTCAATTCAGGGAATAGTTTTCATCATTTCACATATATTTTAAATACAATTTATATATATTACACTTTGCAAATAATCATGTTTTAAGGTCTTCAAAATATGAAAAACCTGCTGTAAACGATGAAAAATATCAACACGACAAATTGATTTACAAAGTAAGAATGGGTTATTGTGTGTTATAATTTTTAAAACAACGTTAAATAAAATACATATCAGATGTCAGGAGTGCAACACAATAATGTAACATAGGGTCACTTCAAAATCTAGTATTTTTTGTAAGAGAACTCGTATAAATTCTTTTTTGGCTTAGATTTAAAGAATTGATTTGAACGAACAAAAAAGTGAATTTTGGGGAATTTTATTGCTTCATATTTTTTTCATATTAAAACTTTTCAAACCAGAATTGAAAAAATAATGTAAAATAACAATCAAAAAGCCAATTTTTTGTCACATGTACAAGAGAAGATACTCATTCAAGGTCTAGATTTAATCATTTATACCCCTTTTACCATTTTGAAGCATAAAAAACTATAATTTCTTGTGATTATGTATTTTAGAAAGTCTTTTAAGGTGCAATGATATTTTCTTTTTTCAAAAGAAATTTTACTGATAAAAATTCTGAAACTTTTTAATCCAAATGTCTATTCTATTGCCACTTCAGGATTTTAAACTAGAATGCATTTGCAATATGATGATATAAGTGAAAAATATGTTATAAGTAGTTGAATTTTGCCAA